ATTGTTATTTTTATCATTATTCAGCCGATTGTTGCGACAAAAACAACTTATTAATGAGTAGACCGATGCTGTTCAAATTGTTGATGTGTATGTGGACATTTGAGCACCGGGAACCACAAACAACCCAAGGTCATAAGCCCAATGACAAAGGGCAGATCATTCAGTTACCATTCACCTTTAAAGACATGTTTTGCCCTGTTGTTCCGCAACTTCTTGTCACGTCTTTTGTTTCCGGTGCTGGACATTTCATGTTATTTGATTCAAGATTTTACTTTGATTGGGGTACATGTCTTCCAAATCTTGACCAATGTCGCGATCTCGCATTCTCGTGCTTTTGTGCCAATTGCCTATAAGTTAATGCAACTATTTTCCAAAAACGCGAAAAACGCCAGATTGCGACACTTGACCAATGTCGCGATCTCGCGTTCTCGCGTTTTTCGGCCAATTACCTATACAGTCATCTAGTGGCTCAGTCGTCTGAGGGTCGCAATTCGCTGTGTAGAGTTGCGTTTCTTGGGTGTGCCAGAAACCTATGATGGTGGGTTTCGTCCCATTTCAAGCTGACAAGCCGGGGTATAACTGAAATATTAATACTGTTCAAAGCGGTGTTAAGCCAAACTCACTCACTTAGCCATGCCGGTCCCTCAGGCTGGATATTGGGGGTACTTTTCCAGTATAAGCATGCCTATCATGTGGATTTCAAGGCCGCAGTGAATTATTAGTTGGAGTTTGATTGAATTTTAAAATACATGGGAGACGCAACGCATTTTATTTTTAACATTTTATTGTTTTCTTATCGAACCATTTAGGGCATCTGTGTACAATTGCTGTCGAAGGGTGCGATTCACATGCATCATGCGTGTTCATGATCAGTAGGGCTACGTGTACGGAGTAGGAACACACATATTAGCGATATTTCTATTTCTAGGAACTTTGAGGCAATAGAATAATGTAAGGCGTGATGTTTTGTAGCCAGGTGGGAGAGGATGAAAATCTATTAATTTATTTTGTATGGCCTAAAGTAGCGACTGTGGTGTCGTGTAAAAACATCGGACAATCTCATTTTAGCCGAATGCTACAAATTGGTCTTTGAGAATTTTGTTTTGATGAATATGCTAGCCGTGTATAATATTGTCTTATGGAGAAAATCACTGGCCTGTGAGTATTTCTGCAATTAACAGTGCAGCCGCGAATAGCTGCAATACTGCTGATGTGGCTTTAAGCAATATTTACTTTCTCACTGACAGTGATATATTGTTTCCAGCTTCCTCACACTTTAATGTCTTCACTATCACTGGACATTCATGTGCACAATTTCTTTTGTTTAAATTATAATGAGCATGTTGAGGGTTTTAATTTAAGGTACAAAGGAAACTGTAGCAAAGGGAGAGGACTCTACTCTACATAGGACTTTGTGTATGTAAATTACAGAGCATTTTCAAGCTCAAGTCATAAGTTTGCTAAATGCTACTTGGAGAATGAAGAGCATGAAAGAAGCATGACCACCGGACTACTAACGTGCGCATGCGCCTTGACATTATGATCTTACACATGCGCACGGACAGCGTCTAAAAAAACGAGAACACGAGAACACGAGAACGCGTGATCGCGAGAAAATGAAATATCGCATTCTCGCGATTTCGTGTTTTCGTGGCCTAATTTAACAAGTCGAGATTGCGAGATCGCGAGATTTTTCATCATGTCCAAATGTCGCATTCTCGCGTTGTCGACTTTTGACAAAAAGTGCTATGTATCAAAAATACGAAAATGCGAGATCGCTAGAACGCGATATTATGGCCAAATCTCGCGTTCTCGCGATCTCGCATTCTCGTGTTTTGGGCATATTTAGCTCGTTTCCAAAGGTCGAGATCGGGAGAATGCGAGGTCGCGAGAATGTCCCTTACAGTATTCCATAGAAAACACATTTCCAATGCAGTACAACTTTGAAACAGAAATTTTATACACGTTTTTCCACAGTGTTCTGCAGAAGTTCGTGTTATCAGGGTTATGTTATCAGCATTTGTTAGGCGTATAGGATCGTCAACCGTAAGTCTTGTTGCCCGTTTTGTACCTCGTTCTCGGCAGCTATTTAAATATCCATCTGGGCGCAAGTCGTCTCGTGTGTCCGTTCGTCCCAGTGATGTCTAGTCTTCGTCCAGTACTGCCGCCTATCCACATGTCTAAAACTTAAACGGGCGGTCGGGTAGCCTAGTGGTTAAAGCGTTCGCTCGTCACGCCGAAGACCCGGGTTCGATTCCCGACATGGGTACAATGTGTGAAGCCCATTTCTGGTGTCCCCCGCCGTGATATTGCTGGAATATTGCTAAAAGCGGCGTAAAACCATACTCACTCACTCACTCACTAAAACTTAAACGCTACATATACCTTAATAATAAATTTATAAGCACTTCCTGTTTTACTTACCTTGACCATGAATCTCAGCCATGAACCATGAACATTTCAATAATAAATTCTCAAAATATTGTTTACACACATTTTTGAAATGTCTACTCAGTGGGTGACCTTGACCTTCAGCACCATCCAATCACATGCGAGAACATTTATTTAGCTCAAACTTAGGTTGTGTTACAAATATGAAGTCTCCATTTCATGGGCGAATGACCCTGAGGACGACCTTGATATTTGACACACACTACCATGACTTTCATATCGAGGTAACATAGGGAGTCTTCTTAAATGAGGGGCGGTCGTATAGCCTATTGGTTAAAGCGTTCGTTCGTCACGCCGAAGACCAAGGTGATTCCCGACATTGGTACTATGTGTGAAGCCCCTTTCTGGCTTCCCGTGATATTGCTGGAATATTGCTAAAAGCGGCGGAAAACCAAACTCACTCACTCACTAATGTGCAGATTTTTTATGAATTAAACCGAAACTTCGTGTTTTTTATTTAACAAGTAAAAAACCTGACATTTCCAAGAGTTGACAAAACGTCCTTTCCAAATATATTTCCAAAATTGCGAATCAGTGGAAGGCTTTTGAAACAGCTCAGAAGCATTGGAATTCATCAGGAGTCTATTAAATGTTTTTGAATGTTTTGGAATACAATGCATTGTTTAATTTGAATGGACATGTTGGCATACCCGGGGACCTTGCTAGGAACAGTTGATTCCCGACATTGGTACTATGTGTGAAGCCCATTTCTGGCTTCCCGTGATATTGCTGGAATATTGCTAAAAGCGGCGTAAAACCAAACTCACTCACTCACTAATGTGCAGATTTTTTATGAATTAAACCGAAACTTCGTGTTTATTTAACAAGTAAAAAACCTGACATTTCCAAGAGTTGACAAAACGTCCTTTCCAAATATATTTCCAAAATTGCGAATCAGTGGAAGGCTTTTGAAACAGCTCAGAAGCATTGGAATTCATCAGGAGTCTATTAAATATTTTTGAATGTTTTGGAATACAATGCATTGTTTAATTTGAATGGACATGTTGGCATACCCGGGGACCTTGCTAGGAACAGTTGTTTTATTTAATAGTTGATCTGGACCATACACGGTTTCATGTAGACGTAACACCAGCAACGGCGAAATACAAGTTACATAGTACTATTTAATTTGATCCAAGCAGACTTGAGTAGATATCACTTCTTAGAATAAGCACAAACTCTCGTGTTATGATTTAAACATAATTATATATTTATTCGAAATGAAATTGGATCATTAAGCAAGCCGTGTCGGTTTATGTCAATATGTCTCCTACCTCCAGCACATGCTTATAAATTGGTCTGAATAGTACCATTGACTCTTATTTCTTATGTTTATCTTAACGTTTTTTGACGCTTTCATTCACTATGATTATTTCCAAGTTGTTTTTTTCTCAAGATAGACATTGTTTAGTAAGTGATATCCTTTCTTGAAATGTGATCCGTGAAACGGGTTTTGAACCAAGATGCGTTTCATTGTTTTAACTGTAAAGTCTGGATCAGAATATAGTTCGAATAGAGACAGATATAATTTATTTCTTGTAAAGGAGCCAAACATTTTTGTAGACCCAGCACAAACCTTTTCAAGCCCCAAACATATATATCAAATAATCGACCACTTGTTTGTTGTTTTACGCCGCTTTCAGCAATATTCCAATCATATGATGGCGGACTGCAAATAATCGTATTTATGCCAGACAATCCAGTGATGTTCACTATGGATACATGGAATGCACTCATTCAAATTACCGTGCCTGACCGTCCGATCCGTTTACTTACCTGTTACAAAAGTCATCGGTTAGTGGGGATCTATATTCTTAGTCGGTTATTGTTTACAACAAAAGAGTTAAAGGGGAAGTGTACACGCAAAAATCACTTTCTTTCTTTTTCTAAACAAAACGCAATTTTAGAATTAATTAGTATCTGTGTTTGAAAATATACTCTCATTTTTTTCACAGTGAAAGTAGGAAGCTCACAATACTGTGAAAATGATATGCCGTTATGAGGCCTTCGTTTTTCGAGCTAAACAGGCCTGAGTTATCCCCCTTAGATTATGACGTAATTGGTGCCAATTCAACTGGGTCCCTGTCTATTCTCAACGCAAAAGATATCAAGTACCAGTTTGCGGTAAAACAACATGGCCTACGATACACTCCGGCGCAGTGGTGACTCAGCATAACACTATGCTGGCTGGCATCTGAGACGCTAGAATCACACACCTGTACCTACACCACGTGAAGTGGCTCTAACAAAGCATGATGACGTCATAATGTTTATCAATTGGCACCAATGACGTCATATTGCAAGGGGCATAAGCCATGGTGTTTTTGTTGTGGAAATAGAACACTTGGTAAATGTGAAAAATATAAACCGTTTTAATGCGAAAAATATGTTAATTAATTGTGATATTTTTATATTTTTGTCTATGACACTTCTAGGTTAACACTTTTAATGTAGAAAAAGTACAAGAAAAATAGGTTCATTTCCGTGTGAACTTGCCCTTTAACTGATTTAGGATCCACACTCTATTCCTAACAGTCGTAGGTACTTACGTTTCCCATATCTGTCGACACTGGGTTCTCCTGTGTGGTTTGAGTTGGCAAGTTTGAACAGGGACAGCATTGATTCATACGGGTTTCTTATTAGAAGTATTGCTCTGGCATAATCTTTGCCTGCATAATGATTGTGGGTCTTCACTGCTACCACGGAACCATTGGACAGACTCTCGCCAGGAAAACCGTTGTGTCGCAATTGCTCGTCATTGTAAATCGACCCTGTAGCAATCCCTGAAATACAGTTACAGTAAACTACGGTTATAACGAACTCAAAGGGACTACTATTTTTAGTTCGTTATAACCGTAATTCGTTATAAGCATATATACAGCATAACTACAGCACATAGTCGGGACTAAAAAGTAAGTTCGTTATATCCGCCAGTTAGTTATAAGCGTGTTCGTTATAACCGTAGTTTACTTTAATTGTGTTTGTAATGTTCGGGAGCCTTTTAGGGCCATTTGGCTTTTGGTTATGTCTTGAAATTTCAAGATACTAAGTTGAGATTTCAAGATACTATGTGAGTGAGTGAGTGACTTGTGTTTAACGCCGTTATTAATAGTATTCCAGTTACATCACGGCGTGTCAGCTTAATGTGGGTGGAAATCCCGAAGTGATGCAGGTCTCAGACGTTTACCACTTCGGTGAAACCCACTAGCTCGGGTGTGGTTACTAAGTTGAAATTTCAAGATATTATGTTGAGTTTCAAGATACATAAGTTGAAATTTCAATATACTAAGTTGAAATGTCAAGTTAGTATCTTGTAATTTCAACTTTTATATCTTGAAAGTTTAACTTAGTATCTTGTAATTTCAAGTTATGAATCTTGAAATTTCAACATTCTAGCATCTTGAAATTTCAAGATACTATGTTGATATTTCAAGTCATAATCTTACAATTTCAATTTATTATCTTGAAATTTCAAGATCATTAGAAATAACCTTAGATAGTGACATAAATATCGAGATGGTTTCAAGCTTCTACTTCGTTGTGTCAGTTTCATGTACTGGATGGTGTGAATATCTTACTGACTAATTCAGAAAATGGAGAGAGATGGGGGATTAAACTTAAATATCACATCTGAGTAATGTCACGACACATTGCTTCACAAATACGATAACAAAACCAGCATGTCCACGGTATAGTAATGACATAATTGATGATGTATTTATTGTTGAGCATAGATTCAAATTAAAACATAAACATTCCTGTTGCATACATCTGATATGCTTACAAACCTAGCCAGCCGACGTCGGAAGAATCTGATCCAACCCACTCAGCCACACAAGCTTCCACAAAAATGAAAGTCCAACAACTGGTAGTTTAGATCACATACTTTGTGTACCCCTCTGACGTTTGTAAATTGGCACGGCTCCCATGGCCTAAAGCTATGAACACAGAATGCCATTTAGAAAGTGGTCAAATGTAACAAAAGTTATATTTGGGATAACATTTTCCAGACTACCAGTTGTCGGACTTTCATTTTTGTGGATGCCACGGTGGCTGAGTGGGTTAGACCGCTGACCCGGACGGGACTCAATCCCCCCTAAAGTACGAGAATCTGTGCTTGAATCTGCTCTTGACATGTAGTTATACTGTAGGGGGATCCTACCACAGTCTCCTAGAACCATGTTGTTGTTGGTGAACTTATTTACTTTCAAAAAGAATTTGCAGAATCTGTTATGGACACTCTCAATAATGTTACAGTAGCTGGTTCCCCAGATCTCTGATCCATAACATAGGATTGGTGAAATCATAGCATCAAAAATATTAAAAAGATCATGGTGATTAATGTATCCAAATTGTTTTTGATAATTATATATTGATAGAAGTGCTTTCCTTGCCTGGGCTGCTAGACATGCTTGGGCCTTGGTCCAAGATAACTTTGGTGAGAAAATAATTCCTAAATATCTGTACATGTTGACAGCTTCTATCTGTTGACCATTCAAAAAACACTTTTCATAACTGCGAAGAGGACCTCCATTCCGAAATACTATTATTTTAGTCTTATTCAGATTGACTTTCATGCCAGTATCATCACAGAATTTCTCCAGGGTCTTTATTTTCTTTTGAAGCTGTGAAGCAGTATCAGAGACGGTTGACACATCATCAGCAAATAACAGAGCAAATACATCAGGGATATGAGTAGATATAAACACACCTCTACCACCTTCTTCCTCCAACATTGAAACTAACAGATTAATAAATATGATGAAGATCTGAGGGCTTAAGATACACCCCTGACGAGTACCCATGGTACACTTGAAGTTTGGCGATAGTCCACAATCAGTTCTCACACATGCACATAGTGTTGAATACATCTTAATTATTAACTTGAGAAATTTACCTTTAACTCCCAGTTGAAGGAATCTGTTAAATAACATTTTGTGGTTCACACTGTCAAAAGCTTTTGAAAAGTCTATAAAAAGACAATAAAACCTTCCATTTCTCTTTGATAAATATTTGTTGACCATAGCTTGTAGGGTAAATATCTGGTCAATAGTGGAATCGAAATTCAGAAATAATATTGTTGTTATCACACCAATGTTGAAGTCTGTTGTTAACTACTGTTGTAAGAACTTTACACAGTGAATTTATCAAGGAAATGCCTCTGTAATTATTTGGGTCTGAGAAGCTGCCTGATTTGTGTAGGGGACAAATAATACTCTTGCCCCAACTACTAGGAAATATACCACTGTCATAAAGTTTATTGAATAGTTTTGTTAATAATGGTGAGATATAGTTCTTAGTTGCTTTAAAGAATTCGTTAACTATGCCATCTGGGCCAGGAGATTTGCTTGTTTTGAGCAATTTCAAACTCGCATTAATTTCCCCTTGTGTAAAAGGGTCATTTAATTCACATAAATAGTCACTGTCATCTGCATCTGTGTTCACCCATATTGGGTCACTGTAATCATAGCTACAGTCAGAATTACAGTTCAACAGGTTATTAAAATGGTCAAACCACTGATCTACTGTTATGTTAGAAGGATTCTTATGATTTACTCTGCAGGATTTTAACACTTTCCAAAAAGATTTTGAATCATGTCTGGATGCACTGAGAATTTCCCTCTGTTTATGGCAATAATCTTCCTTTTTCAAATAAAATGTTTCTTTAAATTTCCTTTTACATTCTATATATATATAGCAATACCCTGTCCATATTTCCTATGGAGCCTTAGAGCTGTATATTTATTTTGTTTTAATACTTCCAGCTGATCATCCCACCAAGGTGGCTGTGGTGATATGTCAGTTAACTTACTACCTTTGTACACTTTTTTAAACTCTTCTGCAGCACTATGGCAAAGGTCTGTTATAAGTATCTACACTGTCTTCTACATTTTCTTCAATCTGTTTGTATAAACTGTCACAAAATGTTAAAAAGAGATCTTGGAAATTCACCATTGCCCCTCCTATTGACCAATCAGGGTCAACCTCTCATATCACTTGCATTTGCTTCAAACAAAATGGCGGCGCCCAGTCAAGACGATCTGATCGATAATCAAGATCTATATTGTGATAAAACGGGTCTTACTTCACGAAGGGCATCAAAATACGTGAGCACCTTGTTTTAAAACATGAGAAGATTTGGATAATATCTATTGACGTCGAGTTGGCAGTACACATTCTTTGCAAATCCTGCAATAGACCGAAATCTACATGGCAATTTACGAACCGGATGTCGATCTAGTTACGCTTGATCGATAATCAAGATCTATATTGTGATAAAACGGGTCTTACTTCACGAAGGGCATCAAAATACGTGAGCACCTTGTTTTAAAACATGAGAAGATTTGGATAATATCTATTGACGTCGAGTTGGCAGTACACATTCTTTGCAAATCCTGAAATAGACCGAAATCTACATGGCAATTTACGAACCGGATGTCGATCTAGTTACGCGATTTTGATTTGACTATGCATAGACTCTTTAGTCAAGGCCAAATATAACTCCATAATTGCACCCTGGTTCGGCAAGGGTGGAAACTGGACATTTATAGCCATTTAACTCCCTAGCCTCAGGCAGATGCTAGCTACCATAAGTGTGTGTGTGTGTGTGTGTGTGTGAGTGTGTGTGTGAGTTGGGTTTAACGCCGCTTTTAACAATATTCCAGTTATATCACGGCGTGTCAGCTTAATGTGGGAGGAAAGCCCGAAGTGATGCAGGTCTCAGGCGTTTACCACTTCGGTGAAACCCACGAGCACGGGTATGGTGCTGACAAACCTAGAAACATAATCGGGGCGAACCGGGATTCGAACCCACAATCATAGGTTTCTGGCGTGCCCAAGGGACGCAACTCTGCACAGCGAATCGCGGCGCCTTAGACGACTGGGCCACCCGTGCCCCCTAGCTACCATAAGACGAACGTAATCAGGTTAATTGCTATCAACGATTACGGCAGTGGTGTAATGCCAAGTCACTGCTGAGCCGGACTGTGAATGCGAAAGTTAAATCCTAAAAAGAAATCCAGGAAGACCCATGCTCCGGCTACATTAATAAGTTACACGCAATTTCGGTTTGAGAAAACACATGGCTAATGAAGCCTGGTGCTCTGAGCTAGCTGAAGAAAGTTATATGCACCTTGCCCCCCTTCTCTCCCCCCCCCCCCCCCCATTTCAGTCAAACACTTGTTTGATTATTTCTCGTTGAAAACATGGGTGCCAGCTCTTACAAACATTTCATACGAACACAGGTGGAAAGGCCAGCACCAGAAGTGTGGTGAGCTGAAACGGAGTTACAGTCGCATTTAAGACTATTGCACTTATATAGTGACGTTCATGCGAGCGCGCGCGTATGTGTGTGGTTGATTCTACTGGTTACAAGTTACGTAGACACTATGCCACAGACCCCACACAGACACAAAATATATACTGACTCTTGGCCGACAAGGCCTTGTCCTGTCCCCTTAACGCCGAGCCCCAGGCAGGGTAACAACAAGTGCTATCTTTTAACGTCGTTTAGTATGACTCGGCTACAAGATCCAACCACCAACTTTCCGTAGACCTACCGTACTTCAATGCCCCATCTAAGAATGATACCATTACACTACGTGAGTTATCATGAACTTAATACATCAGTGTATGACCAGTGTTTCATACCGTTAATGTAGTTGCCATTATTTCAGAGGCTATCAAACAAAATATGAATCCCACAAACTATGGGTAAGTAACAGTGTAATCTTGTCCTATGCACCGCTGTATTAAAATCGACAACGAACATGTAATTATGCTGCTCGTTGAAAGATCGCCAGTAGCAGTAGCACTTTCTAAGTTGGCCATTTGCATCCCTTGATGCTGCTAAAAAAAGGAATGATGGTGACCATTACACAGACTCTTACTATTACATTACCTGTCATTTGTTGCAGGAGGTGCCGGACCCACGTGTTGCCTGAGCCAGGGTAGCTAGCCAGGGCTATCTGAGGAAGGACTCGGGTAGATAGTCTTACACTTGGACAATGTGGCTCTGAACCGCTTTGGTTGTAGACACGGAACAAGGGTGAAAACAGCATTGGTTTTCTCAGATATACATTCATTGTCAATATATGTTCCACTGCATATATTATCAGTAGTGCAGCCACTGCTATCTTGAGATTCTTTTGCCAAGATTTACGCCTCATCATATTGTCATTGATGTTGAGTGTCCTGAAAACAAAATATGGTTAAACATTTTAGAGGCATTTGGTTGGAAAAAAAGAAGGTGTAGTGAACAGATAAACGGTTTTTTTTACGAAAGTATTAATGAAACTAACCTGAACTGAATTAACTCACAACCATCAGACTATGTGCTGTCCCTCTGTATGCTGCCTATTGATCAGGGCCTAACCATCTGGCTGGTTACACATCCTTCCATTGCAAGCTGGTGCTTATAACCAGTAGAGATCACACAAGTCAATTCATCGACTCGTCATAATAAAATGTAAACCCTACCAACAAGCAGCTCAGGAGGAGAATCTAGCAACATCTATTTTCAGAATGGCACTGCTCCATCTTACAACTTTTACCCGGCAGAAATTACGAGGGGTGTATCATAATTTAGACTGACTGGTTGGTGCCAGAAGTGTTTAAGTGTCAAAAGTTGAAAGATTTTGATATATATTGGATGTATTCGTTGTCATGTATATGAGAAAAAGCCTTTATCCCAGCTTATTATATAAATAAGAAATGTGAAAAATGGGGTCATCTAATATTTCAAATATACTTGCCAGCCAGAAGGATTCCAGAAGGAATCATTAGTCAGATAAGTCCATCTGGCTCGGGATGAGGCAGCATTGCTAACATTGACATGGGTCTTATAAACATTCCACTGATAATGAGTGTTTGAAAAATGGGGTCATCTAATATTTCAGGTGGTGAAATGGGGTTTATCGTCGCGTTCAAGATTATTGAACTCATATAGCGACGTGCATGTACGTGTGTGTGTTTGTGTGGCTGCTTGTACTAGTGCGGACTGATGCCGATTTATAGTGTTAGCTCACTGAGATACCATGTCGCAGTTTAACATGAATACCTCACTCAGACACAGTATACTGACTCCGTTTTAGCCCCTTAATGTCGCACGCCAGACAGGGTAACAACAAGTACCATCTTTTAACGTCTTTTGGTATGACGCGGCCGGGAATCGAACCCCGGCCCTTCCGCCTCCGCCTCCGTCTCCGGGCGGACGCTCTACCACTAGACCACGGAGGCGGTTTCTAAAATTTCAAATATACTTATCAGCCAGAAAGACTCGAGAAGGAATCATTAGTCAGATAAGTCCTTGGCATGGGGTTTATAAACATTCCACTGATAATGAGAGTTTTCAGACTATATTGTCACTTTCACCAAATATCTTCTTCGAGTGCAGTGTTGGCATGAAAAATACACTGGGATGTTTGCTGTGGTATGATTAATTTAATTTCTTTCTGGAAGTTGTATTTCGAGGTACATATGTTGCAAGCTGTCAAAAGGTTGATATGCACATGACGTTTCCCGTAATACAATACAACTGTTATTGTGTGCTGCTGTGTCAACGTGTCAATATTAGTTTTCCAATTAAGGCTCTAACTATGCGGATAGATGCGGAACTTATGTTTGATGGAAAAATAGATTTTACTCAAATTTTACAAATGGATACAGAACATTAAGTTAGACACATCGGTACTGCACACACATTGCTTGTATGAGAAACTGAAGGAATTCTATCATGGATGGACACAGAAATACATCCCAACAAATTGATACTGATGATGAGATGTCAGATGGTGAACATCTGATCAAGTATGGGAAACAAATGGATACAGGCAAAGAGCTGTCAGCTGACAAGCCACTTCAGTATGAACCCCTGAAACATGAAGAAATAATGTTTAATGAAACAGCATCTGTTACTCAAACTTTGCAAACAGATACTCAGACGAGTCGCTTTCGTCGGGAAGACGATGATGCCTCAATCTAAGAATTTTGAGACAGTGTTCCACCGAAGACTCTGACAGAAACTGGATTTAATGATGCAAGAGATCAAGTGGTTGACTTGAACTCTGTCTCAACAGGTTCAGTGAGCGATTTTGGAGACCTGTATCACCCCGACTACACTCTGTTTACTGATGCACAACACACCAGTTGCTGGAGATTGCTTCTTCTCATCTTCATTGATTGTGTGAGTGAATTCTATCTTAATGTTATATCGGCAGCATTTCAGCGGTATAGTGAAGAGAACAGTTATATAGATAAAAGTATGTAAAAAAAAAAACCGTTTCAAATACTGAACCATTCAAATCAACAAATACATCAATATACTATTTTATACAATTAAAATAAGGGTCATAGACCACATGCAACCAAAGCTTTACAACCTTACTGGGGGCTATCGAGAATGACAGTATCTTTGCTACCTGCATGATTATCTAGCATGAATTAAGCCATTACTCTATCCACTGGTAGTTGACGACAATACTAGCCATTAAATAAAAACTTTGTTCAGATATGAAATTCGTTAAACTATTAAGGGCAGCTGCATGATCACTGTAAAGTTCCAAAATATCCAAAATGAATGGATGACCTGAAGGAATATCTGTAATTGCCTGAAGTCAACAGAGTGTCCCAAAAAAGATGATGAACTGTTTACAGTTGGACTGTTGTTGATGATATTTTCAAAGCTATTGAAATTGTTATAGCGTCAGCAGTGAAAATGATCTATTGTCTGGAAATCTGGAAGAGATGGTTTTGAATCCAATAACAGTGGCATACTTTCCCACCAGCTGTGGATTCATCACTGCAAATAGAACGATGGGAACCATATGTAATTTCTTACTTGTAGGCATTCTTGTTGATATATTAATAGATTCGTGTCCCATTTCTTAAGAGTAAAGTCTACTTTGGATGCAACTAATTGCAAAGGGGATCAAGATAAAACCCAATAAGGAGAGATAATATCTAAATTGATAACAGCAGCTGCAGTGTGGGGTTTTATCCAAATGTCTAGGGTTGGAATCATCTAAGGCATATTGTGAAACGGTTCTTCATATCGAAGTTTAAAAACACCAATGTATGCAGGGGTTTAATGGGTTAGAATGTAATTTTGTAATGTATTCAAAATAATATTAAATAAAGCCAGAAAAGCCTTTTTCTATCACTTCCGACAGTCCTTTAGTTCTTGATATTGCTTTGAAACGATTGGCCAAATTAGAAACACATGTTGTTGAATTTGAATTTGCAAGCAAGAGAAGTGATGCCTTAAACTTAAGTAAGATTCTAAACAAATTCGTTTCCCAAAATGTCTCATAATATTTCAATTTTCATGAACCATCAACAATTTCATCTTCCTATACGCACACCATTTCATCCAATGTCATATAGAATAGGAACGTGTTGCAGGACGTGGACTTGTAGTTCAAACTTGGACTTTCTTCATATTCACAGAAGGTATTTGAACAAGTGGAATTAATACCACGTGGATGCTCAAACACTCAAAGGATTTGCTTGACTTTGCAATCTCAGAAAAGAATCAAGTTTAATTCTGTCTAAATATTTTATTTTTCAACTTTGAACATCACTATCCCACATGATGTAAAAGCTTAATTCCTTAATCCACAGGACTTCATTTAACAAAACGGGGTCACCATGGATTCAGTTGCATGAACATCTTCAGAGGTTCAGGAAGTTTACTGAGATAACAATATGTGAAATGCCTGACTTCCTCATTGATAACATCTATGTAATTTCTGCTCGGATTGGCAAAGTCAATACAAGGTAATTTGGCCAAGAAGTTTAACTTAAGCTTCAGGAACATCAATCAACTGATACCGTTCAAAAACAAACGATAAAAACCAATTTCGTTCCACTGATTTACTCACCTGAACTAGCAATAAAGGGCACCGGTGAGACTGACTCATTTGCTACATATTTAGATCTATGCATAAAGATTCAGATTGACAAAAACACTTTCTATAAGACTGTATTTCAAGAGGGATTATTTCAACTTTCTGATAGTCAACGTTCCCTTAATGTCAAGCAATATTCCAACAGATTCAACCTTTGATGTCTGCATTTCACATAATTTAGATACAATCGAGCATTCTCTTCCTACAAAGACTTGAATCAGCGTCATACGGCTCTTGCTCAAAAGTTGTTTAATAAGGTTACAACTCAGTAAAGCTTTGAAAAGTTAGGGTTTTTTATGTGGAGGACATTTCCAAATTTGGCGCTTCAGTGAAAAAAATGATGTTCGATGCCATTCCCCATTTTCACTCGTGCCATATATATATATTCTCTTGGGTGGTATTGTTTAGGTGAACAATTCACTTGCCTTTGCATGTGTTTGTGACGTGTGCCACCGGGGCAGAATACGCTCACTTTTGTGCGAACACCTGGTATCATGACTATTTGATTGTGATTTACAAGCACATTCTGATAGTATGGTCGGAATCGTACAATTTGACTCTGCTTTTAGAAGACATGTCTTATGGATATGGAAAGGGTTTTGTGGCTTTTATACTAAGGCACGTATATTCAGGATTAAAAGTAAAACAATCATGAAATTTACAAATATTTGTTTTAAAAACCGAAACAAAATACGAATTCCGTATGTACTTATTGTTCAACGATACATATGCATCGCAATCAAATATGAACGGAGTTCATCTTCAATGCTATTAGTATCGCACATCGTACAAATCGAAACAAATAAATTGTCCCCTCAAATGCTGGAAAAAATAATTGTGCTTTTGACTTCTAAATAAAGAATCTGTTAGATGGAGCTGAAACAATAACAACATCAATAAAACTCTTTTTTTGGAATCCCCAAGCTTTGTTGGCCTTTGTTGGAGTATGTGCGACGTAGTATGACATTAAAATGGTGTCAGATGGGACATATATATTTTGTATTGTGTAGGCTCGGTACAAGACAGTTCCAAGATGTGAGCCAGCTGATTCACTGCAGCATCGTTCTCTCGTGGTTTAGATCGGTGCTCACTGTATCCAATACTGGTTCAGTCGTTGAAGGTTTGATATACATGGCTTATAAACATGTTGCTTAAAGATCATTCTACCCTGATATGTTGGTCACCGTGCCATCACTGGCTCACTACATCGATACGATACGTTGAAGGTTTGATATACATAGCTTATAACCATGTTCCTTAATGATCATTCTACCCTG